AATAACTTGACTGACATTTATGTGATGTATTTAAAAATTCTAACTCAAAGAAGTTTAGAGCTGAAAATGAATATATTGATCTAGTCCAACCCTTCTGCTTTATAGGAAATCAAGGCCTTAGAGAAGAAATAACTGGTGCGGAATCATTTATTAACCTAGCAAATATTTACTGAGCACTTGCCACATCCCATACACTATATTAAGTGATGGGGTACAGTGTGAGCAAAACAGAAACAATTCCTGCTCTCGGGGATCAGATAGTGTATTAGTAATGGGGGATGTGAGGTAATTTTGCCCCCACCACCTTCACCTTCATTGCCAGGGTTGATTCAGCATATCTAGCTGCCTACGTGGGTGGCCTTGCTTCTCTCAACATGTCTCTCAAACCTCAGGATCCATCTGGGGAATGACTATCCTAATAAGGCCTGTGAACAGTCGTGCTCCTCTGCTAAACCTGTTACTGTGAGAGCCTAAGCTGAACTTATTCACGGGGCAGGCCTTCTTCTTTTTTTTTTTTTTTTTTTAACCACAGTGTGCTGATTTGTATGCCTTTTGTTTACCATTCTTTATTATTTTCTTTCTTCATGGTTTTGAAGACATTATAAAAATCATCTGATGGTTTAATATGTTTATTCCAAAGCAAACCTAATGAAACTGAATTATAGTTTCAGTCAACTTTTAAGAATTGCCCTCTTTCAACTTACAGAAATTTTTAAAAGGGCAAGTAACCACCTAGAAAGAGAAGAGAGCTATGAAATGTGACCAGATAACATATCTGTAACTAATTCAGGATTTTTGGTGCAACTTTAAACTCCTTTGATCATGTGGGCAGCCCTTCTCTGCGTAAAGTGGAGGTCAGACTGAGTAGCACTGATGTGCTCTTAAATACTGAGGTATGTTTGGCTTTAAGTAGATTGCTGACAGAAAGGAAAGAGCCTGGGGAAAATAATTACCAAACTGTTTTGAACAACATAAAAGGTTAGTTAGATTTGGTCCAAAAATGGACTGAAAAGCTTATTCTTGTGCAGCATTTTCTGTGTCATTAAATAGGGCATTATTTTGTAATTCTTATGACACCAGGAAATTGGAATCTATATAAAATAAAAAAAAATCAAATGGATGGTACAGAACTGAAGAAATATAATATCTGGTATTAAGAAATAGACAAATCCATAAATACGGTAGGAGATTTTAAACATGCCTTTCTCAGTAATTGTTAGATCATGAAGACAAAAATATCAGTAAGGACACAGAGGATTTAAATAACATAAACCAATCTGACCTAATGAACATGTACAAAATACTGTCCTCATATCTAATTTTCCTGCAGAGTCTGTTTACTAATCCAAAGTGTATATGATAAGTGATTTACCATTGGTCACACTTAAGGTAGATGTGACTAGTTCTATTAGTGCTTGTGTTAATTTTTGTTTTAAAAATTACATATTAAAAGCAAACTAGCAAACACACTAAAACTTAAAGCATTCTTATATCTTTGCTTGTTTCACATTTTAATTGGAGCAAGTCTAAACTTTTCACAGTCTGACTCAAGCCTACATTTCTAGTCTTCTCTCCTTCTTTTCACCTACCACTGAATGACTTGTCCTTCCTGCAAAATGTGAACCTTCACATACTAGGCTATTCTCTGTCTGAAATGCTTTTCTCCAGTTCAGCTGTAACCTTCTCTGAAAACTTCCCCTGTAGTAACTGTCACTCTTACCTTCCTAGAACATTTTGTTTAACATCAGTGTAATGCTTATCTACTTATGTCGTTAGTTTTTTGTGTCTCCTGCCAGAGTGTGAATTCTTTGATAAGGACAGTGTGGTGCTATGCATTTTGTAGTTATCTTTATACAAAATGTATTGGCAGGGAAAGGGTCCTACAGGAAGTGAGACTAGGGAGGTTTTTACGGTTATTTGGAGTAAGGTCTTTTTTTGGAGATATGGGATTTATCTAGAGGGATGCCATGGGAATGAAAAGGGAGTATGAGATATATAAGAAATTGTGCAAGAAAAGTTGCAGAACTGACCGTCAGTTAGATAGTAAAACAGAGTGTCAAGGCAAAGAAAGACTTAATTAAAGATATAACTTGGAGATTTTGAGCCTGGATAAGTAAGAATGATAATGGAAATGGGAAAAAACTAATTGGAAGGGGTGTGTTTGTGTGTGTGTGTTTTCTCTTTAGATGTGAGAGGAGTGAAAATTGGAGGTGAGGTGGTACTGGATGTACTAGTTATAAATACTTGATGTACAGTTGTGAGATAGGCTCTGGAACTTGGGAAAGAGGTCAAGGTTATAAAGAGATTTAGGCATTATGAGATATGTGGAAAGCATATGGCAGTGTGCCTGATTTTGAAAATTGAATTGATATTGTTTCCTAGCATCATTTAATTGCTTGGAGCAAGAAATTCAACTAGGGGGAAAAAATATATATATATATGAACAGATGGGTGCTTTTTCATCTCCAAAGTGAATGTACTTCTGGCATTTTGTACTGGGATGTTTTCTTTAAGGAATGCCAACAGTTTAGATATTCTCAGCCTGTTGATATTTTAAGAATACTATTGATAATCAAATGTGCATTAATAAAGGGCTTTTGGTTTTATCTGATCTTGTACATTAAGGAGCTACTTGAATCTTTCTTCCTTTCTCTCTTTCTCTCTTTTATCTGAGTGCCACCTCATTTAAAAGGAAAGCAAAAACTTAAAATGATACTCAAACGGAATTTTTTCTTCTGCTTGAGTCATAAGTTTGTTTGTTTTAGTAAACTGAAGTATAGCCTCATATAAAAATCTAACCTTTAGGAGCAGTGTGCTTGTATATTTTGTAATGTAATAGTATACTTTCATCAAGGTTGAGAACCAAACACTGTTTTAGGATATGGCCCCTAAATCTTCAGATCCAAAGTCTAAAAATTAGATGTGCTTTTTTTTTTTTTTTTAAATACAGGTGGTAGAAAATAGGAAAGTACTTAAAAACAACAGCAACAACAAAAAAACCAAAGGAAAATACAGTTCAAAGACCTGCCTGAGAGAGAGTGTTGACCAAGTTAGACAAAACTGAAAACAGATACAGGACTGTGTAATGTAGTTTAACTTTGTAGAATCATATCATTAGCAAATGTATATTCAGTGGGAGTGGTGAAGGAAATAGATTTTCATAAGATAAGTTGTTCAGAATATGAAGACCAAGTTCAGTTAAGATTTGGTGAAAGCAAACTTGAATTTAAAGACCAGGAATATGGGAAAAATTCTTTCAAGGGCAATCTCTGTTTTTTCCATTCATTTAATGCAGATCTTCCACTTAAAATTTTTTATGACCATCATACTCATTAGCTTTTAAAAATATCTCAAGGAGTGCAAAATTATCATTTAATAACCCACTTATTTATAAATAAATTGTTCACAGAAGTCAAAGTTGTGAGAACTTTTCACTATCCCTTGAAGTAGTTTTTTTTTTTTAAATTTTATTCCACCACATTCTTTTTTTTTAACATCTTTATTGGAGTATAATTGCTTTACAATGGTGTGTTAGTTTCTGCTGTATGATAAAGTGAATCAGCTATACATATACATATATCCCCATATCTCCTCCCTCTTGCGTCTCCTTCCCACCCTCCCTATCCCACCCCTCTAGGTGGTCACAGAGCACCGAGCTGATCTCCCCGTGCTATGCAGCTGCTTCTCACTAGCTATCTATTTTACATTTGGTAGTGTATATATGTCCATGCCACTCTCTCACTTCATCCCAGCTTGAAGTAGTTTTATTAAAGAAATAACAGTAAGCTCCAAATTTAAATATAGAATAGAATTTGCCTATCTATATTCCTGCATGCTAAAATGCTTTTCCTAATGAAAAAAATACATTGCATTTTTTTTTTTCTGTAAAAGGTTTATGGGGTTCTTGTGTCATACAGTTTGATACTTTATAGTTGGCCTACTGAGGCAAGTTAAAAAAAAAACTTGCTCTGTTCAAGTCTTAACATTGTAGCATTGGTTATATTTTTTTTCCATTGGCTTTCTGCATGAGGCATAAGAGTGAGTTGTTAGTGCACCATCTTTGAATGAATGGTTGAATTTATTTAAATACCCTCCACTTCCTTAAAGCTAGATCTCTCTAGTGAAAACAGTAATAGGGATTGGTTCCATGATAAAGATGAATTGAGTATCTTCAGGCATACGAAGATTAGTTGTGAGACACATGGATTGAAGGAGTTGAATGGGTATGAATAGATTCTTTGATCAGAAGATTTAGCCACCCATAACAATTAGTATTGATCACAATTTGTTGTAGTGCTGGACAGATTCCTAGTGATTACACTTTTAGTCTTATTCTTTAATATTGGTAAAGGAATGAAAACATCATAGCTTTCACAATACATTGCATTCAATATTTTCTGAGTATAGAAAAATTAGATTGGTAGGTAGGCTTAAAACCAAAATATATACCTTTCGTCTTTCTTTGCCAGTTTCCCTTGGGAGTAGAGGAAATAGTCTAAATCAGTGGTTTTCAAGCTGGGTGTGTATGGGGAGGAGGAAGAGACCAGTTAGTTTGGATAACTTTAAGGAAATAAATTTCCAGATCTTCCATGCCTGAGAAAGATACTGGCTGCTGAGGTTCAATCTCATATCCTCTTCTTCCACTTGACTGAAGATACGCCTATTTTTTTCTATCCATCTGAATCACACTATGATATGTTAACTCAGGGTTTTACAAAGTGCACCAAAAACAAAAGGGACAATTTGGTGATTACTTTAATGGTATCATAAAAGCATCACTGAAACGTCTCATGAAAAGATATATTTTCAGTAATTATTACCTGTTAGGTTTATTATTTATTGAAATTGATAATAAAACTATGCCTTTATTGATAAATTGTATACCAGTAGTTATTGTCATACTTCAATCTATAAAGTTTTTTTTGATGTGGACCATTTTTAAAGTCTGTATTGAACTTGTTACAGTATTGATTCTGTTTTATGTTTTGGTTTTTTGGCCTCGGGGCATGTGAGATCTTAGTTAACTCCCCGACCAGGTATACCCCCTGCACTGGAAGGCGAAGTCTTAACCACTGGACTGCCAGGGAAGTCCCAGTAATTCAATCTAGAAGACAAAAATTTAATAGGGCATTAATGTCATTGGAAATTAAGAGAAATTTAAATATGCATACATACATATTATAGATTGAAGTATTATAGGATGATCAATGAAGGACTTTCAAGCATAAAAGTATATCCCATTTGAAGCAGCAGCATAGCACAAGGAGATCGGCTTGGTGCTTTGCAATGACCTAGAGGGGTGGGATAGGGAGGATGGGAGGGAGGCTTAAGAGGGAGGGGATATGGGGACACGTGTATTCATATGGCTGATTCGCATTGTTGTGCTACAGAAACTAACACAGCATTGCAAAGCAATTATACTCCAGTAAAGATCTATTAAAAAAAAAAGTATGTCCCATTTGAATAACAATCTGTGGAGCAAGTGGAATGGAAATAAAAGTTCAAGTTTCTTTTACAAAAGAAAGCTATAAAATTCCTCCTGTTGAAGAAGAGTGTTCATGCAAGTTTTAAAAGATGATTCTAGGAATCAAATCTCTGTAGTATTTTTATTTATTTGAATCCATCTAAAATAACAATGTAAAGGCTTTATTTAAAAAATAAAAATTTACATTATGCAAGAAATTACATTGTTACTATTTAAATTTAAAATCAAAACTTTTAGGTACCAACTTTAGAATGTGTGAAATGTTGCATAATTTTTCAAGATTATTTTCCTATGAATAAAAAAGTTTGAAGGTCATTGGTTTAGATAGCCCAGTAAGAGACTAATGGATTTTAGAGGCTTGATTATTTATGATTGTTAATGAGTAGGATAAATAGCAGATCCTTTATACTGTTAATAAAGTGCTATATTGCTTTGAGATATGCCTATGGTGAATGTTTCATTCCCAAAATTAAAATTTTCTTTGACTGGATAATGTTCTGAAATCAGACATTTTATCCTTTAGTCTATGTTGAGCCACATAACATGCCAGCTTAAAAAAATAAACTGAATCTGGTAGTAGCTGCAGCTGTCAGAAATGTCAGGCCTATCTGCAGATCAGTGTTCTCTGTGACAGTGAACTCTAGCTCTAGCTTTGCATAAGTAGGTTTTTTGTTAAGGAAAAAATCAAGACAACGGATCTGGCCCAGCTACTTAGCTAAGATTACTTATACAGTCTTTGACATTTAGTATTGGAAAAATAATGTGAAGTTTAATACAGATGGCAAATAATGCCTATTTGTGGCATCTTGAAAAAAAATCTTAAATTATTCATAACTCAGTTAATATCCCATTTGTTTCCAGTTTTTTAGATGATTTTGAAAAGTTTTTTTTTTTTTTTTTGCGGTACGCGGGCCTCTCACTGTTGTGGCCTCTGCCGTTGCGGAGCACAGGCTCCGGACGCGCAGGCTCAGCGGCCATGGCTCACGGGCCCAGCCGCTCCGCGGCATGTGGGATCCTCCCGGATCGGGGCATGAACCCGTGTCCCCTGCATCGGCAGGCAGACTCTCAACCACTGCGCCACCAGGAAGCCCAGACCTTTAGTTTTAGATTGTTCGTAAGTTATATGCTACAAAATCATTATTTATATAAAATGTGATCTGTAGGACCAGAGGCCACTGAATGTAGTTTCTTCTCTGAGAATTAGGTCATATTTTTAAAAGACTTCTGTCCTTCCTCCCCGCCCCTTACCCTGGGCATATGTTTGTATGTGTTATTGATTGGAGCTGGCTAGTTACAGTCCTATTAAAGTTACATCTAAAAAGATGATTAGATAACACTCTAAAATATGACTGTAAGCTTTGTCTTCTTGTTGCTGTTAGCTAGTATTTCTTAAATTATTGCTGAAGTAAGACAATTAAGGGGTAGACAAAAGAATGCTAGGACTCAAGCCTGGTGATTATAGTATTATAAGTAGTCTACTTCACTGCATTCTGACATAATTAAAGCGTGAGTTGACTGTGTTTGCAATTTAATTCAGCTATTAAGTTTTTTTTTCCGTAAATGGGAAGATTTTGTTTCTATTAACTTTTATATATGCAGAAAAATAGATTAGTTCACATTTGTATTGCTCTGAAATTATTTGTATGTGTTCTGTGTTTCTTTTCCTCACCAAGACTCTAAACTCTGAATGGAAATATGTCTCCTATTTATAAATCCCTATAATCTTAGTTTAATGATTTACAATGACCATTGTACTGTGACCAATACAGTAGTAAATATTGGCGATTAATAAATATGATATACAATGAATAACATATGTATGTTCACATGTGTACATGTGAGTCAGAGTTACCAAAGATGATCAGAGGTCAACAATGACTGAAGGTGACTTACGTCACTTAATGACGAAATATGACTGGTAGGGATGTGAAAATCAGCATCTCACCATTTTTCTTCCAGACCCAAAGTAAGTGCCAAGATGCTGGAAGATAAGAGAAAACCAAAAGATGGATAGCTTGCCTTCTAAGAAAAAAGGTTAAGACAAAGTTACTGGGCTTGTGGTAGTGGTAAACCTGCACATATATTTTACGAAGACAAAGTCTATTTGACATCTCCACATGGATGGTCAATGGGAATCTCAAATTTAATGCATTCAAAACAGAAGTCTTAACTTCCCACTGATCCAGCCTACTTACTTTCATTCCTTCAACAAATATTTACTGAAGGAATACGATGTGCCTGGTACTGTTCTTGTGCTTGGAATATCCATCAATGAGCATAACAAATATTCTGCCCTTGTGTTGCTTATAATCTAGCAAGGAGGAACAGGCAGTAAATAAGAAACATAATAGGTAAATTGTTAGGTACCGTAGAAAAAAAAGAAAAAAGTAGAAAAGGGTGAGAGTGCTGGTGAGATGGGCTTGGGGACAGCGATGGGGAGAAGTAAGTAGCAACTTTTAAGTGGGGAGATCAAGATGAGCCTAATTGTCAAGTTGAAATTGGAGCAAAGAGCTGAAGGTGAGGGGAAGGCGTTAGTCAAGTAGAGATATGTGGGGGAAGAGCATACCAGGCAAAGGAAACAGCTAGAACAAAGACCCAAAGTCAGGAGGTACCTAGTGTATCCGGTGAACGGCGGGGAGGCCAGTGTGGCTGGTGCACAGCCAGTGATGGGGAGAGTATAAAAGGAGGTTAGAGAGGGAAGGGGAGTGGTGGTGGACAAATCATGCAGAGGCTTAGGCTTTGGCTCTTAGTCTGAGTGAAATAGAGAGTCATCGTATAGGGGAATAACATCCGACTTACATTTTAGCAGAATTTCTCTGGCATCTCTGTTGAGGAAAGAACATAGAACGGCTAGGGCAGGGACAGGGAGACCTATTAAGAGTGATTGCAGAAATCCAGGTGGAGAAACAGTTGTGGCTTGTATCAGGGCAGCAGCAGTAGAGGTGAGGAGAAATCTTGGGATTCTGGATATATTTTGAAGTTAGAACTAGCACGATTTCCTGATGCTTTAGATGTGGGATGTGACTCCAGAGCTTTGGGCCTGAGCAACTAAATTCTTCTAGTGCCATTGACCATCATGGGAGAGACTGGTTTAGGGAATATGAGAATATGTTAGATTTGTGATATCCAAGTAGAGATATTAAATAGGCAATTGGATGGACAAGTCTGGATTCTGGGAATGAGGTGTAGGCTAGACATAGAAATTTGAGAGTTGTCAGCCGGTAGATAATATTTAAACCCCATGGGGCTGCATGAGACACCAAGGGCATAAGTGAAGAAAGAGAAGAGGATCAAAGACAGAGCCTTAGGCATGCCATATCTGTTTCCTTTGTTCTCCTTCATCCTCTCAGTAAATGACACTAATAACACTGTCTCCCTAGTTTCTCAAGCCAAAAATCTAGACATCATCCTTGATTCCTTTTAAACAAGTCCTTTCTGCATCCAAATCTCTCTGCTTTATCTCCATTACCAGCAACCTAGTCAAATCCATCATTCTCTTCTAATTCATCTTCCTGCTTTCCTTTTCGTTTCCCTATAGTCATTTTTCACTCAGCAGTCAGAATGATCTTTAAAAAAGGCTGTTCAGATTATATCACACCTCTGCTCAAAACCCTTCAGTGTTCTGTGCAGCAAGGGAGACAATCAACAGAGTGAAAAGGCAGCCTACTGAGAATATTTGCAAACCATATATCAGATAAGGGGTTAATATTCAGAATATATAAAGAACTCCTACAACTCAACAAGTAATCTGATTAATAAACGGGCAAAGGACTTGAATAGACATTTCTTCAAAAAACATATAAATGGCCAACAGACATATGAAAAGATGCTTAATATCATTAATGATCAGGGAAAAACAAATCAAAACCACAATGAGATATCACCTTATACCTCTGAGGATGACCACTATCAAAAATACCAAAATAGCAGGTGTTGATGGGGATGTGGAGTTTGCACAGTTGGTAGGAATATAAAATAGTGCAGTTGCACAACTTTGCACAGTTGGTAGGAATATAAAATAGTGCAGTTGCTATGGAAAACAGTATGGAGCTTCCTCAAAAAGTTAAGAATAGAATTACCATATGATTCAACAATCTCACTTCCGGGTGTAAATACAACAGAATTGAAAACAAGATCTTGAAAAGATATTTGTACACCCATGTTCATTGCAGTGTTAGTCACAATTGCCAAGAAGCAACCTAAATATTCATTGACAGATGAATGGATAAAGAAAATTTGGTATATACATACAAAGGAATATTATTCAGCCTAAAAAAGAAGGCAATCACATCTGATAAAGGACTGTTATCCAAAATATATAAAAAACTCTTAAGACTCAATACTAAGAAAACAACAACTGGGGCTTCCCTGGTGGCGCAGTGGTTGAGAGTCCGCCTGCCGATGCAGGGGACACGGGTTCGTGCCCCGGTCCGGGAAGATCCCACATGCCGCGGAGCGGCTGGACCCGTGAGCCATGGCCACTGAGCCTGCGCGTCCGGAGCCTGTGCTCCGCAACGGGAGAGGCCACAAGAGTGGGAGGCGCGCGTATCACGAAAAAAAAAAAAAAAGAAAACAACAACTGCATTAAAAAATGGGCCAAAGACCTTAACAGACATCTCACCAACAAAGTTAGACAGATGGCAAATGAACATGAAAATATGCTCCACGTCATATGTCATCAGGGAAATGCAAATTAAAACAAGTTACCACTACACACCTATCAGAAAGGCTAAAATCCAGAACCCTGACAACAGCAAATGCTTGTGAAGATGTAGAACAACAGGAACTCTCATTCATTATTGGTGGGAATGCAAAATGGTACAGCCATTTTGGAAGATAGTCTGGTGGTTTCTTACAAAACTAAACATACTCTAATCATACAACCCAGCAATTTTGCTCCTTGGTATTTAACCAAAGGAGTTGAAAACTTACGTTCTCACAAAAACCTGCACATAGATGTTTATAGTAAACTTTATTCATAATTGTCAAAACTTGGAAGCAACCAAGATGTCCTTCAGTAGGTGAATGGGTAAAATAAACTGTGGTACATCAGACAAAGGCCTATTATTCAGCACTAAGAGGAAATGAGCTATCAAGCCATGAAAAGACATGGAGGAGGGAATTCCCTGGCAGTCCAGTGGTTAGGACTCTGCACTTCCACTGCAGGGGGCCCAGTTTCTATCCCTGGTTAGGGAGCTAAGATCCCACAAGCTGCGCAGCCCAAAAAAAAAAAAAAAAAAAGACGCAGAGCAACCTTGAATACCTATTACTAAATGAAAGAAACCAATCTGGAAAGGCTACATACTATATGATTCCAACTATATGACACTCTGGAAAAGGCAAAACGATATGGAGATAGTAAAAAGATCAGTGGTTGCCAGGGGTTAGGGAGGAGGTTGGGATGAATAGGTGGAGCATAGAGGATTTTTAGGGCAGTGAAACCACTGTGTATGATACTATAATGGGGAAACATGTCATTATACATTTGTCAAAACTCATAGCATATACAACACCGAGAATAAACCCTAATGTAAACTATGGACTTTGGGTGGTAATGATGTGTTGATGTAGGTTCACCAGTTGTAACAAATGAAGATTTTTGCATCTGTGTACATCAGGGATATATTCTTTTTCCGTAGTGTCTTTGTCTGGTTTTGGTACCAGGGTAATGCTGGCCTTGTAGAACAAATTTGGTAGTGATTCTTCCTCTTCAACTTTTTGGAATAGTGTGAGGAGGATAAGTATTAACTCTTTTTTAAATGTTTGGTAGAATTCAGCTGTGAAGCTGTCTGGCCCTGGACTTTTGTTTGTTGGGAGTTTTTTGATTACTGATTCAATTTTATTATTGGTAATCAGTCTGTTCATATTTTCCATTTCTTCCTTATTCATTCTTGGAAGATTGTATGTTTCTAGGAATTTATCCATTTCTGCTAGGTTGTCCAATTTGTTGGCATAGAATATTTCATGGTAATCTCTTATGATCCTTTGTATTTCTGTGGTGTCAGTTGTAACTTCTCTTTCATTTCTGATTTTATTTATTTGAGCCGTCTCTTTTTTATTTGTGTCAAGGTATTTATTTATTTCCCCTTTGATTTCTTCATTGACCCATTGGTTGTTTAGTTGCATGTTGTTTAGCCTCCACATGGTTGTGTTTTTCCCATTTTTCTTATTGTAATTGATTTCTAATTATTGTGATCAGAAAAGAATGCTTAATATGATTTCAGTTTTCTTAAATTTATTGAGACTTGTTTTGTGGCCTAGCATGTCATCTATTTTGGAGAATGTTCTATGTGCATTTGAAAAGAATGTATATTCTGCTGTTTTGGGATGGACTATTCTGTATATATTTATTAAGTCAAGCTGGTCTAATGTGTTGTTTAAGGCCAGTATTTCCTTATTGATTTTTCTGTTTGGATGATCTATCTATTTATGAAAATGTGTTAAAGTTCCCTACTACTATTGTGTTCTGTCTTTCTCTTTGTATGTCTGTTAATATTTGCTCTCTATATGTATTTAAGTTCTTCTGTGTCGGACACACAGATATGTACAAGTGTCACGTGCTCTTGTTGGCTTGATCCCTTTATCATTACGACATTCCCTTTTCCGTCTCTTGTTACAGTCTTTGTTGTAAAGTTTATTTTGTCTGATATAAGTATTCCTCCCTCAGCTTTCTTTTCATTTCCATTTGAGTGGAATATCTTTTTCCATCTCTTTACTTTCAGTCTGTGTGTGTCTTTAGATTTGAAGTGAGTCTCTTATATGGGTCTTATTTTTTTATCCATTCAGCCATCCTGTGTCTTTTGATTGGAGCATTTAGTCCATTTACATTTAAAGTAATAATTGATAGGTATATACTTATTGCCATTTTGTTAATTGTTTCTCTGGGTTTTTTTAGTTGTTCTTTGTTCCTTCCTTCTCTTGTCTCTCTTCCCTTGTGATTTGATGACTATTTTTAGTGTTATGTTTGGATTCCTTTATTTTTTGTGTATCTCTTACCAGTTTTTGGTTTGTGGTTACCTTGAGGTTCATGTATAATGACCTTTGTATATAGCTGTCTATTTTATGATGATCTCTTAAGTTTGAAGGGATTCTAAAAGCCCTACATTTTTACTTCCCCCACCCCTACACCACGTTTTATGTTTTGATGCATATTTTATATCTTTTTATTTTGTGTATCCCATAACTATTTATTGTAGATATAGATGATTTTACTACTTTTGTCTTTTAACCTTTCTACTAGAGTTATAAGTGGTTGATCCACTACCTTTTACTATATGTTTGTCTTTGCCATTGAGATTTTTTTCTTTATTCATTTTCTTACTTCTAGTTGTGGCCTTTTCTGCTTGGAGAAGTCCCTTTAACATTTCTTGAAGGGCTGGTTTATTGGTGGTGAACTCCTTTAGCTTTTGTTTGTCTGTCAAACTCTTTATCTCTCCTTCAATTCTGAATGATAACCTTGCTGCGTAGAGTATTCTTGGTTGTATTTTTTGTTTTCAGCACTTTGAGTATATCATGCCATTCCCTTGTGGCCTGCTAAGCTTCTGCTGAAAAGTTAGCTGATAGTCTTATGGGAGTTTCCTTATATGTAACTAGTTGTTTTTCCTCTTGATACTTTTATGAGTCTCTTTATATTTAATTTTTGACATTTTAAATATGTGTCTTGGTGTGTACCTCTTTGTGTTCATCTTGTTTGGGACTCTCTGTGTTTCCTGGAACTGGATGTCTGTTTCCTTCCCCAGGTTAGGGAAGTTTTCAGCTACTATTTCTTCGTATAAGTTCTCTTCTTTTTTTATCTTTCTTCTCCTTCTGGGACCCTATAACGCAAATGTTAATATGCTTGATGTTGTCCCAGAAGTCACTTAAACTATCCTCATTTTTTTTTTCCTGTTCAGCTTGGGTAATTTTTACTACTCTGTCTTCCAGATCACTGATCCATTATTCTGTATCATCAAATCTACTGTTGATTCCCTCTAGTGTATCTTTCATTTTATTTTTATTTTTTTAAAAAAGTTCATGTGTCCCTTTCTATTCATTTATTTATTTATTTATTTTAAATTTTATTTATTTTTGGCTGCATTGGGTCTTCGTTGCTGCACGCGGGCTTCCTCTAGTTGTGGCGAGCGGGGACTACTCTTCATTGCGGTGCACAGGCTTCTCATTGCGGTGGCTTCTCTTGTTGCAGAGCACAGTCTCTAGGTGTGCAGGCTTCAGTAGTTGCAGCACACAGCTCAGTAGTTGCAGCATGCGAGCTCTAGAGCTCAGGCTCAGTAGTTGTGGAGCACAGGCTTAGTTGCTTCTCGGCATCTGAGATCTTCCCAGACCAGGGATCGAACCCATGTCCCTTGCATTGGCAGGCAGATTCTTAACCACTGTGACACCAGGGAAGTCCTGTTTTTCATTTTAGTTATTGTATTCTTTAGCCCTAATTGGTCTTTTTTATATTTTCTAACTCTGTTGAAGTTTTCAGTGTGTTCATCCATTCTGCTCCTGTGTTCAGTGAGCATCTTTATGATCATTACCTTTAACTCTTTATCAGGTAGATTGCTTATCTCCATTTCATTTAGGTCTTTTTCTGAGGTTTTGTCTTATTGTTTCATTTGGAACACATTCCTCTGTCTCTTCATTTTGCCTAATTTTCTGTGTTGATTTTCTTTGTATTAAATAGGTCTGTTATGTCTTCCGATCTTGGAGAAGTGACTTTATGTTGGAGATGTCCTATGGGCCCAGCAGCTTGCTCCCCTCTAGGCAGACACTTCAGGGGTGTTCCCTATGAGGGCTGCTTGTGCCTTTCTGTTGTGGCAGGGCCAACTGCTTGGGCACATTGATGGTCAGGGCAGGCCCGGGCATGATTGAGTGTGATGCTCAGCATTGTTTGACCACTGTGGGCATGCTGATGGGTGAGGCAGGCCCCTGGCTCTAATAGGCTCGAAAGAGGATTCCAAAATGGTGCCTGTCAATGCTGGTGTCAGCATAATAGAATGAGATCACAAAAATGGGCTGCTGCCAGCATCTCAGTCCCCAGGGGGAGTCCCAGCTGCCTCCTGCCTCTCCTGGAGGCTATCCAATATCAGCAAGTGTGTCTGATTCAGGTGCCTTTCAAACTGTTGCCTCTGTGCTGGGACTTGGAGCAAGTGTATTTTTGCATGTACCCTTATGAGCAGAGTCTTGGTTTCCTACAGCTCTCTGGTACTCCTGAACATAAGCCCCACTGGCTTTTAAGCCAGACATTTTGGAAGCTTGTCTTCCTAATTCAGGACCCTGGTCTAGGGAGCTCAGTGTTGGTCTTGGACTCCTTGCTCCTCAGGGATGACTGTCACAGTTGTGATATTCCTCCTGCTTGTGCGTCGTTGCATCAGGGGTGTGGGCCCTGACTAGACTGCATCTCCACCCACCCACCCCATTTTGTTGTGTCTCCTTCCTTATGTCTTTAGCTGTGGAAAATCTTTTCTGTTATTCTTCAGGTTGTTCTCAGAGGTAGTTGTTCTGTAAGTAGTTGTAATTTTAGTGTGCCTATGTGAGGAGTTGAGCTCAGGATCTTTCTACTCTACCATTTTGATCCAGGCCCTTCTTGTCACCTTTGTGATACAGGGAGTACAGTTAGAATAGTAAGCCCTTAATAATGCTTTGGTGTGAATATCCTTTATAACTTTAAGATCTTGAGTATTCTTCATGTTCATTCTGTCAAAAATCTTCACCTCTCTGTGCCTTACTTCTCACATCTGTAAAATGGGTGAAATAGCAATACCTACCTCAAAAAGTTTTTGTAAAGATTAAATGTTAGTACACATAAAGGTCATAGAACAGAGCTGGCATATAGTAAACACTCAAATGTAGAGTGGTTATCATTATTGCTATTGTTATTAACAATTATATTCATGCTGTTTATAACTGTTTATCCTATCAATCAAATATATTTCCTTCATGTATATTCCTTTTCAAGGTGTATTCCTTTCGCCTTCCTTGTTAGTGTCCTCTATAATTCAAGAGCCTTCTCCAATTTCAAACAATTTAATGAAAAGAGAATTTATACATGCAGAGATGACTGATTTAATTTCTATGGTCTTTTTAAGAGTAGCATTCTGAGAATAAACTTATTTTTTCCTTCATGTTTCAGGTGGCATGCAAGATTACAATTATCTATGGGCCAACTGTTTTGAAATCACATTAGAACTGTCTTGTTGCAAGTACCCACCAGCTTCGCAGCTTCAACAAGAATGGGAGAACAATCGTGAGTCTTTGATCACATTGATTGAAAAGGTAAAAGCTGAATGGAAGGTTGGCGTATGGTAATAATTGATTAAATAAGGGAGAAATTTGTGTATATGAACAACAGTTTATTCTAGATACCCTTTATTTTTCTGTTTTTATTATTTAAGATTGTAGATTATATTTAGAAATTATTATATTAGAATCTGTTAGAACATATTCTAGCCATGCCTCTGTTATCCTTCCCCCCAGCTCTTTTCCTCTGGAGGGCTTCTTTTGACTGTCTTACAACACTTTTACCACCTGAAATAATTAGCAAAATTTGTAGTACCAGATTCTTACAATGCCATTCGATCATATTTGCTAGAGAACCTTTATCATTATATGAACCACGGACATAAGTTTAATTTAAATATCAGGCAGGCTAATATACTACTGGATAAATCAGAAATGATTACTTATATCTTGCTGATAAAAGCAGAAGTCTGGCTTTGAGGAGAAGGAATTTCAAAAGCATTTTACAGTCTAGATTTCAGATGACTTAAGTTTAAGGATTTAATTTTTTTGGTCTATATTTTATTTTAACTTGGAGAGATTGAAAACTATTTCAGGGAGCTAGAGGAATAAGCTTATTTTAAAAAACTTCTAGCATCAATGCAGAGAGGTTATTTTCTCTTGCCTTCCAAACTGATTGTCTGTGAGCAGTCTACTTTGATTCTTGTTTTTTTTAGGTCCACATTGGAGTTAAAGGATTTGTTAAAGATTCAGTAACAGGAGCTGGCTTAGAGAATGCAACCATCTCAGTGGCTGGTATTAATCATAATATCACAACAGGAAGATTTGGTGATTTCCACCGATTACTTGTTCCTGGAACTTATAACATTACAGCAGTTTTAACTGGGTAAGAATTTAAACTAGACTCTTAAAATGTCAAGTTTCCGTTTATATCTAAGAAGAGAAATATACTCTTGGAGATCTTATTTACTGTATCTGGCTTTTGTTTTTCCTTGTTTTCTGATTTTTTTCCCCCTTTATAACGAGAAAATACTATGGTGGATCTTCTGTCACATTAACAATACAACTGGATACGAAGCATCGTTGTAAAATTGGGAGGAAGGACAGTTTTAAAAGCTTGATGGGGCTTCCCTGGTGGCGCAGTGGTTGAGAGTCCGCCTGCCGATGCAGGGGACACAGGTTCGTGCCCCAGTCCAGGAGGATCCCACATGCCGCAGAGCGGCTGGGCCCGTGAGCCATGGCCACTGAGTCTGCGCGTCCGGAGCCTGTGCTCCGCAACGGGAGAGGCCACAACAGTGAGAGGCACACGTACTGCAAAAAAAAAAAAGCTTGGTGGTCAGCTGTGTAAAGCATTGCTGCAAGGCTAATTGAATACCAAGGTAGAAGAAACTCAGGGCTCTATGAAAGACATTTTGAAGAGCCGTCTCACCATCAGCTTTCTAATACATGACATGAGTGGTTCCCCACCTCCTCTGGGAGCATTTCTGGAAGCTCATTTTGCTAAGGATTTACCTTTAGCAAATAAATTAC